ATATATATATATATATATATGTATATATATAATTTTATTTATTTTTTTATTTTTGTAAAAACAATTCAGTATGTTACAGTAATATTGTATATTTTAGTCACCATATCACCAGTTACTTTATATGTTTTTGTCCCACCAGCAAATATGGTTACAAACGAAGTCAGAATCATGAAGCATTCATGCCTCCAGACAACACACAGAAATGGCATTCCAGAATAAATCAGTGTTTGAATGAATTGACTGAGTAAATGAATCACTTATAATGATTCACTTATAAAGACCTTTCGCATTCCCAATTCGCATACGACTGATTCTTATTGCTAAGATAAGAACCATGGCTCTTAATTGATAAGAGCCATACATTTTTAGTTTGATGATAAAAATACTAAAAATAACAACAAATAAGTAGCTTTAATTCAAGCAGTTCTTTTTTTCAACTGTCAAGTATATGCATTGGATAGAATTGAATAACTTTAATGTACATGATGTGTAATCATCTAGCGCTAGGAATAGAGAGAGAGAGAGAGAGAGAGAGTATGAAATATAGTAGGGAAGTAGTACCATCCTATAGTATTCTTTAGATAAAAACATAACATCTATATTATGCAGCAACTCCAGTGTGAAATGCTGACTTTTTTGCATTCCAAAACTGATCGCTCAGCTGCATCTTCCAGTCATGTTTATATGTTTGTGACCTTGCACCCCTGCTGTTCCTAAAGAGTGGGCTCCAAAATCTGTTGGAAAACTGTTTTCTAACCAATAGACTAAGTAAATTTACTGTAATTGGTTAAAACGTCAAATGCTGTGATTCGCCCAATCATAGCCTTCAGATTTCAACTGTGAAAAGTGCAACCTAAATAGGTATGTTTACCAGATAAAAATACAAACCATAAGTCTGACAGAGGTAAAATGCTGGATGATCAGAGTTTGGTGGTCATCTAAGCTCTCTCTCTCTCCATCCATCCACATACACAACCATAAATATCTTCCTCAACATAAAAAACTAATCATAGAAAATGTAGAAATGAGTAATATAAGTTCTATATAAAATTTAATTTATCTTAAATAGTACTATGTGAACATGATGATGGAAAAGATAATATAAATACAAAACACAGTAAATGAGCATGTGCATTTAAATATCCAATATTTACATTTATATTGTACATTTATTTGTACATGCTAATTTCCCCTATTTTTCATATTGATTTCTTTTGTGGTCATCCAACACTCACATAGTATCATTTTCTTACACTGTTAAGAGTCCATTTGCTTTAAAAAAATGTGAGATGTGGGCAGTGGAATGAGGAATAAAACGCAAGGTTTCGAGACACATTTATTTTTTTTAAGTTTAACATATTTTATCTTTTTATGTTATTTTATTTTATTTTATGTTAAAGTTTAACATCCTTTTAAAAGATGCAAGCACAACAAACACATTATAATGCACGTTAAAAAAGAAAAACAATGCAAAAGTAACGCAGTGGAATGGGAAAAAAATGTGTTCTGTTAATTGTCACTTGAATGTAAATATAATCTTTATCTGAAACTGAATATCAGTTTTTCATACAGTGCATACTAATGTTGTACTGCCTAAATTCACTTGTAGCATTTACAGTTTTTATTTTAGTGTATTTAATTCACTATTTAAAAAAAAATGTTAATAAATAAGTAAATTAATTTATGTAACAAATTTATGACAAATGTACTTTTTAGAGAGGTGGCATGAATGCATTTACACAGCAATTACGATTGTATACTTTGGGGTTGAGGTGGGTGACAGCAGGCAAAATTTAGTCTGGCTTTTATGTGGCATTGCATCTTTACATTCAATTTTGCAGACACAGAGCAGCCTTAACTCGGCTGTGTAAATACGCTTTAATATAGAATTTCAATATCGGCCATTTATCCTCAGCCATACTGTGAAAAGAATGATCAGCTTGTCAGTATTGGCCAGAATTTTAATATCTGTGCATTTGAGGTATCATTCATATCCATAGCAAGATGAGTTTAATACTCATGCCCAGTACAAAAAGTTGAATACTTTGGTATGGGGGATTTGAAAAAGCTCTAACCACCACTTGCAAATTACAAATTCACACATGCCTTTCTCTTTACTCAGCAAACTAGAACAAAATCTCAAGCTACAAAGGTCACTGAAATACCTGAAGAGATTCCAAGCTTCAACTTTTCTTATTTTTGTGTGCCATAGTAAAAGAACACAGTGATGACTGCCAAACTAAGAGAAGAGCTCTCCACATGTCATGTTTTTCTCCGCTTTAATGCAAAGATTTCATTAGATTCGGTATATTGATTCAGACGAGCTACATCCTGCACATGGTGAGAGCTCATTTCAGGGAGAAATGTGACTGCTTGAGAAAAGGAAGATCCAAGAAAAGAAACAATCATCCGATGGCTTTCTTAAGCTCTACTATACCACTTTAAGACCTCCTCTTCCATCAGCGATCATCAATGCCCTTCATCTGACAGGTGGATCTTCATAAATAGTAGCACCACCATACCTAGCCGCCGCTCATTCGCTCTTGCTCTTGCTCTCTCGATCTGTTTCTCTTTCTCTTTTGCAATATGAAATAGTCCATTATCTGCTCTCAGGGCTAATTGGTGTATTAACGCCATGCTGTGGGTGACAGAGAGAGCAAGGGAGACGCTGGATGAATATGGATGAGAGAGAGTCAGAACGTTCGTGTGCACATGAAAGAAAGACTGGGGGAGGGAGTTGTGCAGAAAGAGTGAAAATGGGAGGCCAAGGTAAATCTTTTCAGCAACACAAGTGGTTGAGAGGTGGATGGTGAAATGACGAGTGGTGGTGGGGAGGGGGAAAAACGTCCAGTAATGGCTGCGTTTTGTCTTTAATGCAAAGATTTCATTAGATTCGGTATATTGATTCAGACGAGCTACATCCTGCACATGGTGAGAGCTCATTTCAGGGAGAAATGTGACTGCTTGAGAAAAGGAAGATCCAAGAAAAGAAACAATCATCCGATGGCTTTCTTAAGCTCTACTATACCACTTTAAGACCTCCTCTTCCATCAGCGATCATCAATGCCCTTCATCTGACAGGTGGATCTTCATAAATAGTAGCACCACCATACCTAGCCGCCGCTCATTCGCTCTTGCTCTTGCTCTCTCGATCTGTTTCTCTTTCTCTTTTGCAATATGAAATAGTCCATTATCTGCTCTCAGGGCTAATTGGTGTATTAACGCCATGCTGTGGGTGACAGAGGGTGCAAGGGAGACACTGGATGAATATGGATGAGAGAGAGTCAGAACGTTCGTGTGCACATGAAAGAAAGACTGGGGGAGGGAGTTGTGCAGAAAGAGTGAAAATGGGAGGCCAAGGTAAATCTTTTCAGCAACACAAGTGGTTGAGAGGTGGATGGTGAAATGACGAGTGGTGGTGGGGAGGGGGAAAAACGTCCAGTAATGGCTGCGTTTTGTTGTTGTTTTTCCAGTCGGCCTCCTCTCTATCCTTCTCTATTCCTCTCTCACCGACATTGCCCATCAGCCCAATTATCCACTTTCCATGGCGCCAGTGCCAGCATATGGAAATGCAAATTGCACAGAGAAATGTTTTCCTTTTT